AGCGAAACGTCAGTAAAAACACTTTCGTTTTGTTTTTCATTCATTGGGAAATACAAAAACTTTATTATAACAAATAAACATATTTAGGTATTTAGTGAATATTATTCACCGCTATGGAATATTTGAATGGTATGGATTTGACCGTATGAAAAAAACAACTAAATATGACATTTACTCTTCCGAACACTGTGTTTTAGTCCATCAAATACCTTTGAAACAATCAGTACAGAGACACGTGTACTTTGGGTAAATCACATACATACACATAAAATGATATCAAGGTTATCACGCTATTTTGCTTTTCTTCTATTTTCTTCTCTTGCTCTGTGTGCTACATGGAGTGTGGTGACTTGAACTGCTGCACATCGGTGCAAAGTTCTATGTTGAAAACAGACAGACACGGTTATCAAGTTGTGTTTCGCTTTTTGCCATGAGTCATTATCGAGAAACATGAATTTTCTAAGCCATTACGAAAATGTTGTCTGCTTTATATGATAGAGTTTCCACGCTTTAGTCATAGGCACCAGTGAAACAAAAATTAAAGGCCATAAGTTTTCGTACTTAGTTTTTGTTACCACTAAGTGGTATGATATTGCTTCTCTTTTATTCTACTGTTCATTTCCTTATTCGGTGTTGTTGCAAGATGTGATGCTTTGAATGGACACGGTATCCGAACAAGTAAACTTTGGGATTAATAAACCAGAGGTTAATCGGCTTAATTTACAAGACTTAGATGCTTACCATGTCATTACTTCATTGCACTCGCCATGAACTGTACCCAACTGCAACATGAATGAGTCACAGGGAGTATGACTCGACCGGTAGTTGATTACATATTGCAATCACCCAACGAGCTACACAGGCTGGGACTAATGTTCCTACAGATCCTACCATGCCAGGATGGTCGCCAGCATAGCGATTGGACCAGAAGCAGTTACCGTCACAATGTAAATTATTTACACTATGTTGAAGGGGAGGGACCTGTGGGCAAAGTCGTACTGCTAGAGTATAGAAACGTAACAGCAGTAAGGCGTTTCCTTCAGATGGTCAGCATGCCAACTATGCTGCCTGTTCGCTCGACAGAGAGAGAGGAGAGTTAGGAAAGGTCGGTCGTGAAAACTGTACATCCCACCTTACCTTGCGGCGGTCCGTAAACAGCGGTAAGATCTTAATATGGACGCAACTCCAAAAACCACTTCAAACAAGCAGTTACCTCGTGGGCTTTGTTATCATACAACATTATTTCATTCTTTGCAGGTAGTCCAAGAAGAAATACACTTGCACGGCGTGAGGAGCCGGGTAATAAATAACTACCCATATACTTCCATGAACAGGCAAAGGTTTCCTGACTATCACCTTCTTGCTTTCCTCCCACCGTTAATACCAATCTGCAGTTATTTCCAGAAACATGAAATACAAGTTAACCAATTATGTCCCCCACTAGGCATCGGTGGTTCAATAGCAGAATGCTCGCCGACCATGCACATGATCCGGGCGAGAAAAAAAACCAATCAGAAGACGTTGCTTCTCTGCTGACAATAATGTACACAAAAATCTATAAATATCTCTTGATTTTCTCAATAAACGATTTGTTGCCTGGCCCTTGTCTTCTGTCGTTACAAAATGACTTATGTAGTGGACATAAATAAGAGGATCAAATCATTGACATAGTATACAGTTATGTCACAAAACAAAATACACTTCACCTTATAACACAGGTGGATCATGCATTCAACACACAGAAAAAGGGGAAGGTTTAGTGGTTATTCAACATATTCAGAGTGAATATTATGTTCAGTACGAAATTTGCTTTAGTTTATTACCTTATTAATCATTTAAACATATATGTTGTAGACAAACCTTAAATTATTTAGCTCATTGATGGCTGCTGGACGTATGCCCTGAAGCTGTAGTGAGAAGTCGTGACCAGTGGGGTCCCCTCATGCCTAGGTGAAGTGAATGCTCATCGAAGGGATTGGTGAAGTACGCTATATGACGAATTGAAAAAATTTAGGATTCACGAGTCACTGAATTCCAGCCCAATGCTAACTGGTCAACAAGCTCGGCCTCGTAACCTGAAGGTCCCGGGTTCGATTCCTGGTGAGTTTGTAGATGTGTACTGATGAAGAGTCCTAACACAGAACGCAACAGCTGTCTGGTTTCCAATGACGTCTCTAACTGACGTCGGTTCGTGATGAAATCTAACCACTGAAATTAAATTACTTGGAAAATACTGAAGAATTCTCGAGGAGATTTATGCAATACGCTATAAAGTTTGGTAGGTTATAAGTTGTTTCATCTTCATAAAGTGAAATGGTGTGTAACAGTATTGCTTGAATAGTAACTAATTAATTATTTCATATTTTATTTAAACACAAAAGAACTTGGTACAATATGGCACCAAGAAGATGCGCCACACAATAATAATAAAACCACACCGATTAAAAGTAAAACTATAGGTGGAGAACGGATAAACAACTTCATCTGGAATAATGATAGCAGTGATAGAGGTTATAATTATATCCAGTAAATTCCAAAAGACAATATGATAAATCTGATGAACAATCATGATAGTGTGTACCACGTAACAATTAGAAAAATCAGAGCAAACGTACAAGTAGCAAATAACATGACCTCATATTAATATCTTATGTTCACAACTAAGGTTTAAGCAAAACCGAAAGATAAGGAAAGCGGACGAAAACAAATTCTTAGTGTGTTTAGTAATCGATATGATAATAATTATAGTTGACCTTATTTTATAGATTTTTGAGTGGGTTGCCATCAATGAACAGTAGAAGTCTAGCACTACTACTACGACTACTACCACTAGTATTTCCTTCTGAACTAAATAAAACGGGAGCACAATATTGAGAGATCATCTTATAATAAATGTTTAGCCTACAGTGAAATATACGTGGAAGCAGATTGGATTACGTAATCAAATGGTCTGATGTGAATGTCTATATACCACTGAGACAAACACCATAAACCACATATAACATTCACATGTAGTGTGTTATTTATTAGGATGTTTCAGACTTAGTGTGAAAAAAACTAGTCAAACTAATTGAATACCTACACACCTTGGCGATTGGGACAACCACCATGCTCACAGTTTACTAACTGGCTAAAACAATGACAGATAATTTTAACAGATTGCTCACCAGAATGTCGTTAATTACATTTAGCAAAGTCATAGGCACTAATGATTACACGTATTTATCTTTTCTAGCAATAAATAGTAGTCGGTCCCACAATACTTAGGGCATCAACACACCCTTAACAAATTACATTACATTTTCTATCAAAAGCTGAATAGTCGCAGAGTAGTTAAGACAGTTACTGAAAGACAAAGAGAAACTAAATGAAATTATCGGCTCTTTTTTTATAGACCAACACCTCATTCAATTTGATTACATAAGCTAAATGGAAGGGGCCATATATTAGTTCATTTTAAGAGTTTTGAATTAAGTGCTATAGACAGAAAATCCCTTTAAGGACCTATTTCGTTTATTCGAACGAGACATATAAGCGGACAGTATTGTTTTCAATTAGATCTTCTTCAGGCTTTACTCTAATTTACACAGACTTTTATATAAAAATTTTAGCCAATGACGGTGAGTTTCTTGACCACATAATAATAATAATAATCTGGTAAATGTTTTGGACGTCAGTACTAACGATGATTATAATGATAACAAAGTAATGATAATAAGGTGTATTCACGTGGCAATAAGAATAACGAAGGTAGTAATATGTGTATATGTAGACAATTCAATAAATAAATTAGGTCAAATCTCAAAAGTTACATAATACCAAAGGTGAAGTGGACACATTACTACGTTATTATTATTGTTACTTATTATTATTATTATTATTTAATCAACAAACTCACCGTCATTCATTGGTCAGAATTTTTATATAAAAGTCTATACAAATTAGAGTAAAGCCTGAAGAAGATCTAATTGAAAACAATATCGTTCGCTTATATGCCTTCTTCTAATATTGATAATGGGAATATTTCGTTTATATCAAGAGATTAGAAAATACTGCCATGTTTATCTTTTTTTAAGTAACCTACAACCATGTCTGTTATGATATGGACCACTCGTACTGCTGCATAATTTATCTTTTTAGTTGCAAAGGCTATAAATCACTCAATCCAGTGACCATTTGGAAAATTGCCAACTGTGATGACTTACACCTTTTCTATGATAGAGATACAAATTATTATTATCATCCCTTTGGATTCCGAATGAAACATAGGGATTCCACAACAACATCTCTATTTCACCCTGTTCTCTGAAGTCTTTATTAGCCAGTTCCTCACACGACCTCTTACATGTAGCCCTCGGACCCATACCTAACACATTGTTTCCCACTTGGGTTCCACTTAAGGGCCTGGCGCATGATGTAACCCAACGGCCTCCTCAGTGTATGTTTAGTCCATCTCGCTAAACTTAAGTGGGTGGCACAATGCTAGAATGCTCGCCAACCACGCATGTGGTTCGGGGTTTCATCCCCAGCCGACACACTCCTTTACCTCGCAAAGCCAGTATTAAGGCTGGTAAAGAGGGAAGGTTGGGCATGAGGCTAGCAACCCTATCCCGTATAAATGAAACCACTGCTACCGAAACTTCAAAGCTCTAGTCTGAAACCTTATGTTCCACTGGGAACGTAAAGGAATCAAATAAAAATAATGATAAAATGGGTGTTTCACATCTAACCACCGAATTTATAGGTGTGGACAAAGGATTTTAAGGGAACATTATCAACGCAGATACACAAAACAGTGGCAATGTGCTTGAATATATATAAAAGACAATATCGAAACTCTATATAAACATAATCAGCTATTGAAACCCTGTGTTCTACACCGAATCCAAGGGGATGGAAATAGTATAAAACCAAAGACTATCACAAACAGGCCTTATAAAAATCAACCATATACGTGTGGAACCAAACACAGATAAGAATTACTGGGATAACAAACTTACGCATCAGCCATACTTGTCCACGTGGAAGCAGGATATTGTGCAGAAAAATCTTCAGTAGCCTAAATAATAAAAAAGAAAACATTTTGACATTAACAAATATCGGTGATGAATTGAACACAATTCTCAGAACTGGAAGATAGCTACACATCTAAAGGCTTAAAATATATTTGGTAATGAACTAATACCAGTTAGAGAACTACTGAAAGCCAAGGAGCACAAGGCATCGGTTTCGTCTTAGTTTGGGAGTTATACCTGGAAGTCTTAGGTACGGTACGCAATGCTGACGAGTCCAAGCATAGGACAAAGCACTTATCGGAAGCCACATCTAGTGAAAGTCATACTAAAAATAATTCACCACCAAGGCTGAATGATGATGTTTACTCATAAAGAGCTAAACAGCACAAAATGGCAACAGGCACTGTCATTACTAAAATATAATTAGGAAATTACATTATTTTTTTGTTGCTATTGAAAGGTCCAACATCCTAATGAGTTGAATCAACAGTCACCTTCAAAGTGGATAGCTGAAATAACTATCAGCCTTTTGAATGTAGCACTACACTGGAAGCTCGCAACTCAGTTTTAATGGTATTTTAGTTAAAATAGTTAAAAACAATTCCCTTAAATCAGAATAAAGATCACATAAAGAGGTAAACTGACTATTCAATAGATAAAAGAAACTGTAGAATACCATTTAAACATTAAAAACAAACTCAACATACTATATTACTCACTTTAGTCAATAAAGTTTGTGCTACTCTTTGAGGATATTCTTGATCGCATATTAAAACTCCACATAAATTGTCATGTCGCACGTAAACATGACACATATAATCTACGTAACAGTAGAATAAGTATAACTTATACGAAAATCAAACCTTGCTCCTTAATTAATCCGCGCTGGCAGCGAGCAGTTCGTTCGCAAACAAGTTTAGCAGTGAAATCCATAAATTCTTTAATACTCGAACGTTGAAAATAACCAAAATTTGATAGTTCATGTGCAGCCTGTAACATTTTGGCTGATGTATCGGTTTTATAAAGTATTTGTAATGAGAATAACTTCATTATTTGTTTGATGAATATATAACTGCTGTGAAATAAAACAGAATAACTTTTTCAATTTATGATAAATTAAATAAAGCATAAACTTTTGGGGTGAAAATAAAAAAGTTAAAGAAACATAGCAAATATGAGTCAACAGCTGTCATTCAAGGTCTAAGGATCATGCACTTTATTACAGTAGGACTCAAAGTATGCTAACGACTTCCAAAAATGGAATTATGTTAGCAAATATGAGTTATTAGCTATTTTTTAAAACACGAGGATTTGCATAAGATTTCAAAAACATCTATACTACAGAATGGTGTGTCACAAGATGAATTTCAGACATTCAGAGGCAGAATGATCGCATAAGTGAACTTGTTCCTAGATGCACC